ATTTACTTTTCGAGCGCTTTGTGTGAAACCAACAAAAGGAATCCTGCGTCACATATATTATATTAGAAGATGGCAGTTATTACTGAAATTCACTTAACATTCTAACACAAGCTTAGTTTTCCTTATCACATTTCTCAGAAATTACATATAAGCTTATTGTGACAGCAAACTCGCTAAAACAAATCATTGCAGAGCTTTGAGCAATAAATATTCACTTTGGGTGGCTTTCAAATGCAAAACTTGTCAGCAAACGAAATGCCAACAAAGGCTAGATGTTTTTAAGGTCGAGTAAGTACGACGAGGTATGCAAAGGCCAAAAATGAAACTGAAAATAGAAACCAAAATAAAATTTAAATGAAAAGTGGAAAAAACGAAATATCTTAAACCTTACAAGGCATTTAATATTTATTAAAGAAAAAAATGTTATGATACCACCTGTTGCAAGCGCGCAACCGCAGCAACATTGTGCAGCCCCATACGAAACTCTGCCCTACCAACAGCATCTGCAGTGAGAGCTATATGGAAATATAATAAAATAAAATATCGAAAAAACCGCAATAGGGGCAGCGCGTGGGGATTCGTACGGTAAGGTAATGCAATGCGTGGCATTTTGAGGTCCGTATCATCAACTTTGTGCTTATTGCGCAAGTTGCCATTTCGAACTGAATCACACTTATTCTTGTTATTGCTATATTTTTTATATTGTCAAGTCTCCTCCAAAAAAATAATATTATATTAATATAGCTCAAAAACCTCGATCAAGGCGAGTAAATATCTTGAGTTTGGCACAATGTTATTTTTAGCATTTGCTAAAATCCTACTGTGTAGGACTGTACTAGCCACCTTGAACCGATGAGTGCAGCACGTTCTTGCAAAGGAGCATTTTAGACAGAAAACAATCGAGAACCGACAAACAGACTAGCACCCAACTTAACTGGAATATGTGCACATCCGAAGGCTCATCGCATGCATGTGTGTGTGGGTATGGTTTTTCATTAGTTTAAGCGCAGGAAATGTGTTCTCGGCCTTATCATTTACAAGGTCTCACCTGAGCAAAGCCGTTCGGCTGCATTTGCTTTGCACTCGCTTCGATCTATCTGATGCCACCACAAAGGGGAACGGACACACCGATGCAAGGAATTTACAATGCAATGCAAATGAAATGGAACTGCTTCGATCACAGACCAATGGACGACAATGGACAACTGCCGGAATATGTACTGGCAGCGAAATGAATGGACAATCGAAAGTGCTGTAGGTGCCCTATGTGGAGGCCTAAGAATCAGAAATGAATAAGACAACAATTTAATGTACGCAAGTCTAGCTTTGTTGTTGTTTTGCTATGTTGGTTTTGTTGTTGTTCATGTTTGAGGATATTACTTCTGTTGTTGTGGGTTTGTTGTTATTGCTTTTGATATTTTTGTTGTAACTATTCTTTGTTGTTGTTATTGTCTTTGAGGATTACTGATGTTTTCGTTGTTTTAGTGGTTGTTGTAGCTGGTGTTTTTGTTGTTGCTGTTGTTGATACTACAGATGTTTTTCTGTTGTAATTGTGTTGTTGTTCTTATTTGTTAGTATTTTTGTTTTCTTCCTTTTTTCCAATCACAACTAAATCACACAAATATACACACATGCACACATTCACTTCGCCATAAGTACTCGTATATGTATATATTATACATCTATAAACACGTACTTGGGTACAGGTACTCGTCCACATGGGATCGTACAAGAATTTGCAATTATTTCTTTTTTCCTTATGGAAGTCAAAAGTTGTATTTACACTCGAGCAGGCAAATTCATCATCAAAGAAATTTCCAATATGGCCTCAACTGCCGCAGCACGAATCCGTATTTTATATCATTGCATATTCGCTGCGCCTTCATATATCATATGTATGTATGGCTGCAATACAGCGAATCACTTTTCAGCTTTTTCTTCCTCAACTTATTTTTCCTCTTGCATGGTGCATTGCAAATATATGCAGTTATGTGGGTTCAAAAGGTGCGTGTCGCATGTGGAGCAACTCTTGTTCCTGTGCTTTGCTTTTATTTGCCATTAGCGGCAGAAACACTGAGTGCTTGAACCAGATTGAAGGATTTTTGCTTTTGCCAACTCTTAAGTGCTCTTTTTGGTAAATTAACAGTGCGTGGTTGAGTCATAGGGTTTTATCATCTTTTTCGCAACATATTATGCTTTGGGTTCAGCTATAAGTGTCAACTTAATGATGACTGCTACAAAAAGGGTGGTAGCTCTTACACAACGGAAATCTTAACAAAAACTCAGTAACAACAGAATTTTTAAGTATTCCGTAATCTTCGAATTTTTGCCGCAACACCCTTTTAACCCGTAGATTAAGCCATATTTGATCGTCGAGAAGTCAATTCAAACTCTCGAATTCGATTGGTTATAGAGCGAAGGTTCTATTGCCTTCTTTATGTTTATAAATTCTAGAAATGCATCGTCAAGATATAATTAATAAAGAGCATGGTTGATCTTTCAAATATACCTATAATGCTGAGATATGATAGGTACTTGAATCATTCCACACCCCTATTTTTGTCAAAATATGTTAAATCATAACTTGAGAGGCATTTCGCCTCACTCAACGCATACACTTTCTTACTGTGATCATCTAAAATATTTCCGTAAATTTTTTTTACTTGTTCTTACATTTCCAACAGGAAACCGATTCGATAAAAGAAACTCTTTCCTAGATTGGCACAACTTTGTTATGTTCATGTGAAGTTTGATCGCCATTTGACGCAAAAAGCTTGTGTGCGATTTTTACCACGTCAAAAATTTAATAGAGAGTTTGCTTGAAATTTTGTCGCTCAAATGGAATCCCGGCTACAGAATCGTTGAATTTTTTGAAAAAATCTATATTATCACCAATACAAGTGTTTGAGTGGCACTAAACATTCAGTTAAGGTCAAAAAGTCATCGAAAACTTGCCTTTTGCGAGTGGCGATAACATCGAAAAAGCTAAATTGCTTGAAAATCAGAGTGATAGCAGAGGATCTCAACATCTCCTAAGGATTGCCTCAATACATTTGGTTAATGTTTTGTAAATGAAACTTGCGATTGCTAGACTCGTACCAAAAGACCTGAGTCTTTTGCAAAAACGACGTCGAGTAGAGTTCGTAACAGAAATGCTTAACAAACGTAGCTGGGAACTCTACAATCACCAAATGCATCATTACTGCTGACAAGGCGTGAGCTTATGAATATGCCGTCTAAACTGTCCAATAATCTAGCGAATGGCGCTCCGGAAATGAGCCGCCCATTAATACATTTTCATTTCTTACTTTAAAGGTGCATTCACATACATCCTCCTTGCTTTACGTGACAGTTCATACTGAAAAAACGAAGCGCAGAAAACAAAGTTGTACAAAAGCATACATCGAACTATTCTGCCAAATCTAATGTCTGTGGATATTAATATATCTTCACTAACTACGCTAGTAGCAGTACAACTAAGCTGGGTTGAATTGATAAGAAACCTTAAAATCAATATATCGACAGGTCTCACACTTTGTAGTATTATATTTATGCATCAGAATGCACTGACTTGGAAGCGTTTCTTTCTGACCCTTCACGTTAAGAACCACCTTCTTTTTCGTAAACAGTTACATCGGTGGTTTTAAATCCTCGTGCTCTCGGGCGAAGATTGCCGTTAAAAGTTAGCGAATTGGAAATATAGTTATTCATACGCATTGTTTCAACGTGTTTATAGAAGTATACGAGTGATTCTTTTTCGTATTGAGCGCAAATGATAGAAAGTGATAGAAAGTGCGATTGCGACAGTTTCGTCCCGTTACTTTTTTGTAGTGAATTTGGCAGTAAAATACATTAGTTTGTGACGTTATCAATGAAAAGAGTGGAAGACTTTGGATACAATTACGAGGGCTGCTATATATATTTCTGGCCTAATAATGAAAATACGAATATTTATCAACGAAAATGGTTTTTTTTTCGGTCGATTGCTCTTTTGTTTCGGGCTCATACGCATAGATCCATGATTCGTCGCCTGTGACGATCTTATAAACGTCTTTTGAAGCACCGCGATCGTATTTTTTCAGCATTTCTTCACACCAATCCACACGAGCCTTTTTTGAGCGATCGGGATCCAACGAGAACAAACTTTTTTTACGGCCAGGTGTTCATGCAATATCGAATGTATGCTGGTGGGAGAAATGCATAGGCACGCCTCTATCTGAAGGTATGTTACATGACGGTCTTGCATTATCAGCTCACGTACGGCATCGATGTTTTCTGGCACAACGGCTGTTTTTGGACGACCTTCACGGAATTCGTCTTTGAGGGAGCGTCGGCCACGATTGAATTCGTTGTACCAGTTTTTGACAGTGCCATAGGATGGTACTTCATAGCCATACAAAGATTTTAGTTCATCGATGCACTCTTGTCGTGATAATCCACGTCGAAAGTTGTGAAAAATGATCGCACGAAAATGTTCACCAGTTAATTCCATTTTTTGGCCGAGATGAATTTTTTAATTCCCTGTAAATAAAACAAGCCCTCGTACTAAGAAAGTCTGAAAGTTTTAGTTTATGTGGATAGAAAACCTGATAATAAGCAGACTTTCCAGCATGCTCTCGTTATCATTTTTTTCGAGCGTTGCTATTTATTACTCTCTTTTGTTACAGCTCCTTTGCTGTTCTCTTATTCGGTTGCAATCGAAATCAAAGTGCTCAAGAAGACAAAGTCAAGAGTTATTCAGCGGGTTAAACGGATATTTTTTCATATCTGGGTTGCCATACTTTTCAGAACATAATTGATAATGAACAAATATTTTCCGTAAAGTCGTAATTCTTTATAAGCAATAATAGTCAAAGTATATTTGATTGTTATATAGTTTGGTTACAGTTGTTTACGATATTAAACGTTTAGTGAACGTTTTAGAATTTTACCTTGATGTCAAACCAGAAATTTATAAATATTTAAATATTTATCCAGTTTATTACTAGATAAATTAGATATAGCTGATTGTGAACTGAAACAAACTAATCAAATTTCTCTAAATTGCCTGATAAGATAACTCATAGTTCGAGGCAAACGATTTAAATGGCGACATCACAAACTAATTTCCAGTTGAATTGCGTTTCTTAGCGAATTGGCATTGCGGAAGTTGAAAATTTAATGAAAAAAGTGAAAAAAAATAAATAAATAAACTAAGTCAGTTTCAAAAATATTTCAATATGTTTAAATTCTTTTCGAAAAGTGTATGTGAGAAATTTGTAATGTCCTCGAACTCTTTCGTCTAATATAATATCTGTATTCATATACTCCTAATTATATATTTTTTTATTGTATTCAGTGTGTGTCTACCGTAGTTCTACTACTTTTGCTCTCCGAATCGTCGGATTTCGCTTGGGCTGCCTGCAATGCTTGCTCTGTTACGTCTAATTTAGCCTGCGTATCGCAAACCGAGTTCCAAGTGTGCATCGGTGGCCTACCAACAGGAACGGCGACTAGTTGCCCGAACGGATATATTTGCTCGACATCTTCTACAAGCATATGTGTATCGAGTACTGATACGAGTGTAGTTGGCGATTGTATTCAATGTGGTAACTGTGATGCTACCCAAACCTTTGCCTGCACTGGTGTACGCACGTACGCCCTTTGTTTAGGCTTAAGCTCTGCTAGTAGCTTGGGTGGCAGCTGTGCGCCCTATCATGTCTGTAGTATCGACTATCAATACATATGCGGTAATGAAACCTTGGGGGTCCGTATATAAAAGATTGTGGTAAAATTATTATTTAAGTTGCGATTTTTATCCACAGATTTTACCCACCTGTTCCACTGCTGATGAAGCAGTTTCCACAACTACAACTGAGAGTACTACTACGACGACTAGCTCAGGCTCGGTAACCGTGACCGATCCAGTTGCATATTGCCAAACGATACAACAAAATGGTCGTTTTCCAGTCGGCAATGAACTTACAACAACTTGTAAACAGTGAGTCGATTTCAATACTTCTTCTTTTAAGTGCTTATAAAAGTGTGTATTCTTTCCGTTTTAGGTATGTCTACTGTTTCGTAAATAACAATGTTTGGAGTGGCGCACTCTACTACTGTCCAGGTGCTACTTATTTTGATAGTGCTACACGATATTGTTCACCATCTGTACCGGCACGTTGCGACAGTTCAACACAGTCGTTATATCTGCGTGGTTACGAACTAGTTTTCGACGATGCTGAAACAGTAGAATGAATAATACCGATTTTGAGAGGTTACACAGTTGAGCAGTTATAAATGGAAATGAGGTCGAGGTTGGGAACTTTATAGAGGATTTTAAGTCCTTAAGATTTAGTCAAAGTTTTGGAAAACAAAAAAGTTTCGCTATGATGACGTCAGCAAAGCAGTACTTGCTGCCAAATCGAGCGCTAACTACGTAACTCTGTACTCTCTCACAAAGATTATTCATTTTTTTATTTTTTTAGTTTAAGTACCAGTGTTATGCATTTAAATAAATATGAACAAGATGAAACAAGACCTTGATTTTAGAAATTATATTTGGACAGCAAAGAATTTCAAAAATTGTTACATTCCGAGCAGAAAGCAAGGAATAAAATCTCTTTCATATATGACATAACCGTAAGTGCTTTAATTCTTTTTATATATAGTCGCAAAAAGTGAGTAAAAAGTAGTTTTACTAAAATCAGAAAAAACCTTTAGTCGATTTTCAAACTTGATTTCCGGAAGGGTAAGTTAGCGCCTGGGGGTCGGAGGCCTTTCTTTGCTTGCCAACCAAAGGTTTTCCTCTAGTGTACACAAAAGACATACATATTTAAAGATACTTACAAAGGATTCCTTAGCTTGAGAAAATTTCAATGAGTAGAGTTCAGCTGTTACTTTGTTGAGGTACGATACAATAAAATTCTCCCAAATAAATTTTAGGAAAGCTATTTAAGTAGTTGTTCTTTGTAGGACATAGGCATGGCCGAGTCTGTTCTAATTTTGTAGAGTCGACTCTTGAGATAACGGTTTCTCAGTTGGTTCCTATTTGTGATGCTATGACTTCAATATTTGTGTTTAGTAAGCTTCATATTTTCTCGCAAGTTTAGGAGGACTCTCCCGTGAGATAAAGAGATAGAGAGAGAGGCTGAAGCAGAGTATTCTGCGTGTATTTTGGAACATAAAATATATTTTTTACCAAAATATAACGAAGATATTTTTTGAAACAAGTATAATATAAAATTTATTCAAGTACAGTATGCTGGCTGATCAATAGTGCAAGCTTTAGATTCTATGCTAAAGTATGTGTTCGGAGCGCATGAATACTCAACACCTCTCATATTACGACAGTGTATATATCTGAAAGAAGAACAAAAATTAACTTACAATTCCTTTGATTTATAACAGACTTCACCTTTTGCAAAAGGGATCGTTTGGCATGGTCGGATAGAGCCCACTCCGCGTTTGTTGGGCACAAATCTCATTTGGTGTCAATGGAATTGTACTAGTTGCAATAGTAGTTTGTGTAGTGGATGTACTTGTTGTTGTTGTCGTTTCAGTGGAAGAATCGACAACATCACAGGTAACAGTATATTCTCCGGCGGTACTAACGCAAATCGCATCACTTGTTGCGTCACAAACAAATCCACTGGGACAATAACCCACCTGGCCGGTGGGACGTACAGCGCCATAACACATTTGGAATGTGGTGCGACTTAAGCAAGCAAAGAGCGCATTAGCCTGAGCCGTACATTGTCCACAAAGTGATGTGGAACCACAACTGGGCGCACGTGTTGCACTCGCTTGTAGACAGATAGCGTTAAATTCGGTACACTCGAAACCCTCCTTGCAGTGATACAGCACGTCCATATTGGGATTGCTGTCTGTTGAAAATTGAAGACAGCTTCAGTATATACAATTCGTAAAAATATTTTATAAAGAATTAATAGGCTTACCACCGAAGCAAAGATAGAATGACGTTGAATTGATGCAGGCGACTTGATTCTCCTGGCAGACATTACACTCAGCGGATGTTGAGTTTAAGAAAAAGTAAATGCAGACTGTTACCTGTAATTATACGGTCGAAAAGTTACTAATAATTTATTAAAGGTTTTAAAATAAACCAGATTTCGGTACAAATCCTATACGAAAGTTTAATTTTGTTAAGCTATCTTAGATATTGACGGTATATAAAACGGTATGGGGTCACCAGGAAATTCGAAAATCAATAGATTATGTGTATGGAGGCCAGGAAAAGTCCTAAACTGATTTCACCAATTTTTAGCACGGACCACGTTACTTTCTTAAGTAACGCATATTTGCTCTTTATTTCACTAAGATATCAGAGTGATCGCTATTTTCAATATAAAGTCAGGTCATACGCACTGAAGTCCTCATAATCGGTACTGGTAGCCTTAAAAAGTTATGGTCCGACTTCAAAAATTTTTTGTTAAGTGGTGCTACACTTCAAGGCACTATTTTTTGTTCCGATATCTTCATTAGTGATTGATTTATCTATTGTAAGGGGAAAATATTTGATGGAGTTTAAAATTGTTGTACAAGGGAAGTAGGTGTGGTTGTCACCCATTTTCGAACTGTAACGAAAAGATGTCAAGATAATACTGCACCGAACTAAGTTTTATAGGAATTAAACGAGTCGTTCCTGTGATATGAGATTTCATCAAAGGGTGTGTTGTTAAAGTTTTTAATTGATTCATATGCAGCCTTTCTATGGCATCTTTACTGGCAAAATGTGTATATTTTACGTCTGCACTTAAAATTTTAGCGAGTTAGCGCACTTCTAGTAGGTTTCCACATATCATTTGTGTAGAGAGTATGAAGCCGTGGTTATTATCAAATTTTGTCCATTTTTACACTGTATGATCAGGCGCTAGAGGGAACCCCAGTTACGTCTTTGGTATCAAAGCTTTTTACTTAGTTTCATATAGATTTTCGATAAACGGCACGCCCACATAGCATCGGGCCGATCTTGCTCATCTGCAATGCCAACCTATTCATACCAAGGAATACATTCGTCACATTACATAAAGATTATCTAACGGACAGACAGACATCCGGAATTCAACTCGTCTCATCATTAAAAGAAATTTAATAATTTTTTTTTGGGTACAGTTCAAGTTAAATTTATTATGTGGGCGTTAGAACCCTAAAATGGCAATTGAAAATATTTTAGTATGCAGCGCTGAAGAATATTTTGATAAATCCACTTTCGTATAATATTTTATACTTGTATTAACAAATTTTAATTTTCACATTGTGAAATCTACATAATATTTATACTCGTATAGTATGTAAGACTACACCTCCGCGACCAAAAATAAATTAGTTCCTCATACTTGCAAGATAAGAAAAAGCCATTTCTTTATGCCGCGTAAGGCCATTTTGTTGCACTTTCAATAAAATATTATGTATTCAAAGTCACTCAAAAATTTCCAATAGTATTTCAAATGCACTTGTTATGTTTCAACTGAATTAAATTCTTAACTTTTTATAAGTTTTTCTTTTTATCCGTAACGTTTCTTAGCTAATGCGGCACAACAACTGCTAGCGCAATGAACTTTGCATATGCTTTTAAATGGGTTCTGTACTACAAGTATATTTGAGGTATTTGCTCTCTGGCAATCTTGTCCATTTCTTCTCATCAGCAGTTGTTTGTTGATAACTATTTTTCGTGCTAATTGGCTTGTTGATATTTTTAATTTAACTCCCGAAAACATAAAGCTTACGAGAATTTAGATTAAGAGCGCATAGATATTTATATATGTGGATAACGTGGGTAACAAATAGTTGGAAGTGGGCATGCAAGTCATTGTGGAAAGTGTTTTTTATGACTTTATGGTAAGCCTCAGCTCTAATAAAATTTTTCTGACGGGATTTGAAACACTGGTAATAGTTTGGCTTTCAAAACCAATTTCGAGGAGAATCTGTGATAATCGCTATACGATAAAATCGAGATACACTTTTTGTAATATGCAGTTCTTCTGGAATTCGCAAATATTTTTCAAAACATTATTGCGGTATTTTTTTTAATTTGGAACTCTACTTTTTAAATCTCTTTATTTTATCCAACTAAAACCAAAAACATTTATCGTTTCGAACTGTAATCCTACATCATCCGTTCTTTATTGTAAAGTCCCGTGCCTTGCAACTGAACCTTTTCGTAAGATTTGGAAATCATATAATAGCCCGAGGTGATAAAATCTACCAAATAATACTCGTATTTTCTGGCATCATCTTAATATGAACTTTTTTATCTTCTGGAATACTGACATTAACGGAACGGTCGAAGTGGCTTTGAGAGCTCGTTTCAATTTGGCCACTTAACATTTATCGTAATAAATGAAGGAGTCGTTTCTCCTAGATTTAAATCCTAATCAGCTTTGGTGTAATCTTGGCTAAGACGCCTCACATGAGATGGACTCCTAATCTGCGAAGATCTAGCTCTTTAAAATATTTCATAATCGTCATGACACTACGAGTGCTACACAAGCTATAAAATATAAGACGATTTATATAATATAAATAAATATGGGACCGTCTAGTGTTGGTATTGCTTATTATATAATTCACTCATTTAGTGTGCATGGTAATATTATGCTTAAAACAACAGTATACTAAACAAGAAAACCAGAAAATGTTTACAAATTAATATAGAAGCTAACTGTACATCTTATATGTATACATATGTATACCTAACTCTTTAAATACTTAAAGCGTGTGAAATTAAAGAGGAAGACATTCTCTGCTTCTGTTGTCAAAATTAAGATAAAATTCAACCATAATCTGTTTGTTTGAGTAGATAATTTTGAACTAAGCATAATGAAGTAATTTCAGCACATACATCGTGAAGAAATAAGAAGTGAATTCGTCAAAATATGAGGGCTACTATATTTTTACTTGACTTTGATAGCATTAAATCTAAAACACTTTTTCTTGCTTAATCGAGCTAGATAGCTATTTTATGGTCTTCAATGTACCCGTCACTCCATCACGTGTTAAGTTTTTCCTTTTTTATTTTGGGATTATATTTACCTTCGAACACTACAAAAGTTGACTCATTCGATCATTGTTTCTCAGAAAGCTTGGAGTAGAAATTGTAATTGACAGTGGAATATCCTTAGTACTTCAATCGACTAAGCTGTATATTTTTGCTAACTATCTAGTCAGCTGTATAAAAAAATGTTATCTAATCACAAAGCTCATGACTTCAAAATCATAGTTTTACTGAAGCTTCGAGTATATTCTCTCTAGTAAGTATGAAAGGTCATAAAAAGTCAAGGAAAAACGTTAAAATTTTCTTGGAGAAGTCTTGGACTACATTTTGTGCTAAAACTGGTGAAGATATCTCGTCAAATAAAAAGTATTTCATACAAGAACAAGATTTTGATCGTTCAGTTTGTATGACAGCTATATGCTATAGTGGTCCGAGATGCAGCTTCTTGGGAAAAAAAGGAAGTGTGCAAAATTACAGATGTATGTCTCAAAAACTGAGGAACTAAATAGTTAGCGTATATACAGGCAGACGGATAGAGAGCAAGACAGACGAATATAGGTCAATAGAGGTTCAGCTCGTCATACTGATCATTTCCATACATATTTTATAGGGTCTCCGACGTTTCCTTTTGGATGTTACTAATTTCGTGGGAAACTTAATGTGCCATGTTCAGGGTATAATGAATACAAAACAAGAAAAAACATGATGTTGGTTGAACCGCAGCAACAATACGCTTCACAAATAAAAAAGATTTTCATAAATAAAATCATATGTTATAGTGATCTGATCGGAATAATTAATTTGGATATTGTATGTAGCTATGCCAAATTTCGTGCAGATATTTTTTGAAATTTTTATTAATCAGTTTTTTTAGAAGCTATTTCTAATTGATATCCAATCGATATCTTAAGAACTGAAGAATTTGTGCGCGTATATACAGACGGTTGGACATAGAAAACTCAACTCATTTATAAATACAATTTAGAGGGTCTCCGACGTTTCCTTCTGGCTATTGTAAACTTCATGGCAAATTTAATATACCCTGCTCAGGGTGTAACACAGATTAGACTCTGTCAGCTGCTCAACAGTCATTACTACTCACTATATACTTGTAAGTACATAGAAGAGTTTAATCTCCGAAGGTTGTAAGAATGGGTTTGAAAACATAACAGTACAAAATTAATACTGGAATGGATTGGATACGGGATATGTCATATTTCATATTTTGACTGATTTTTATCAAAGAAGGTACTAATGATAAATCTTACAAATACGCTGTCTTAAATTAGTAATAGTTATATTATCGGCAACACCTTTCAGTTGAGGCTGCTATGATTTAAGCTTTTTCTTTGCTAAATTTCTTGAAGATAAGTCTACATAGTCAACACACACACTACAAACCAAATCGTCACTGAGAATCAACTCAGTCTATTTGGGAGAGTTATTTAAAAAAGCATGTTGTTGCTGTAGCGGTACAAAACGTCGAGCGCTCAATACTTAGCAAGTGTGTTACGTGACACAAGATATGGGGTGGGGTTCACGAAATATTTTTGAAGTGCTTTCGAAAATAATTAATATTTACGATTTTTAGGAACTCTTAGGTCTATTTGAAGAAATATTGCTTTTGCTAAACAGATACTTATTTGTGAAGTTCTCTTTCATAATAAATAATTAGACTAGTATTTAGAGAATGCAGTATCGAGTCTAACATTTAGATAAATGTATGACCAACTTGAATAAGACTAGACTCACGATCGTTTCACAACCCTTCCGTTTTTCGGTCAAAAATTATATATATCACTATGAGAATATTCTCAATTAGAATCGCTATAGACCTGTACTCGTATTTACTTTTGAATTAGGAAGTCAGCTGTATCAATACAAAGTATAGTACAGTTATTAATTTAGTATTTAATAATTTTATTGCATCAAAAGTTTTTATTTCAGACACAGTTATTTGGTTTAGTAGTTTGACAGCTTCTTATTTCCGAATTAAAAAATCTTCCAGCAGGACACTGCATTATGCGCCCGATGAGTCCCGAACCAGGGCCGGAGCTTGAGCAATACAAGTAGCTGTAATAAATGTATTATAGATACATAGAAAACCATTAAAATTGTAATTACTCTCACGTGGCACAACTGTTGTCAGCAGGATTTGGATAACGGCCAATAAGGGTTTGACTTGAACAGAACTCCACGTGTGATGGACTAGTCGTAGGTGCCTCATTTGTTGGAGTATTTGTTGAAACTTCCACCAAAGTAGGATTAGTAGACGGTTCTGTGGTGGTCTCTGGTTGTGTGGTCGTTGTATTTATTGGGGGTGTGGGTTGTATGATTACAGTTGGACGGGCTGACTCACTGCTCAATGGCATATCCACAGCCACACTTACATCACACATATCAGCTGGATTCGTTAGGCATTCATTTGCACACGGCACTTTACCGGTGTGCGCCAACGATGTGCGACATACTTGACCGGCGGGACAGGACGCACGTATATCGGTCAGCGCATATCCCATACACATAGTGAATGTGGTCCGGGCGGTGCAGGTGAAGCCACCATCCATAACATCGGCGCACTGGCCGCAATGTTTAGTGTTGCCACAGGCGACCTCTATATTGGGATTACTGTTGGGATCCATACAAACTGGACCCAGTGCGGTGCAGACCTCATCCTCATTCGGGCAGCTAAATTCTTCACCAAAATTTGGCAAACCTATCGAACCAGATTTGTTATAATTCTTTTCTTATAAAATATTATATTTCTGTACTTGCCGCCGAAACAAAGGTGAAATGTGTTGTTGCTGGCGCAGGCGACGCCATTACTGTTGCAAATGTAGCAAGTCGCGGCGCTTCGGTGAATTGTCAGTATGATAACATATACTGCGAAAAGCTGGTGTAAAAAATATGTTTTATTTTATTTAAACAAAATTTTACTTTTGAAGATAATATTTTACCGCTAATTTATACATGTTGGTCTAGTGTCTATAGCACAATAACGCTTGTGAACGTTGAACATGTATGGGCTGACTAACTGTTATCTGCTGGATGTTACTTGTTTTATGGGCGCAATGTACGTTTAACCCTTTCACTGCCATTACAGTTCATCGGTCTTTTTACTTTCTTATGGATTCGTATTAAGATTTTAATAACCACTAGGCAGGTATTTCTAATAAAGCTCTCCATCAAAAAAACACTCGAATTTGGGTTGACATAAAAATACTTTAAAAAGCTGCAAGAGAAAAAAATTTGTTTTCCACTGGAGACTTAACCGATCACTTATAAGTTGTCCTTTTCAAGAAGATCCTCATTTTTCGGAACCAGCTATGGCGACCGCTCTAGCAGTCCTTCTATCGAAAACTCTCTTTCTGACAAAATATCGTCGCATAATTTGAGACAAATTATTGTCTAAGGCAACACTGCAATCTCCGAACAAATTATTCAGGTCGGACCACTATAGCATGCAAAATAATCAATAAAAATGAAGATAAATATCTTATTATACTCTTTTATGCGATAAGAAATGAAATTGTAATAGGTATTATAGCTTCAGTGCAGCCAAAGTTAACGTTTTTATCTTTTTTATATATATGCTGAAATTTATGTCTAAAGAAAAAAGTAGGAAAATGAAGTAATGGCAAAAGATAATACTTATTTTAGACCAAATTCTTACTTCAAAAAACACGATGTACAAATAAGTGTTACATGAAGTAACGCACAAAATCTGATGAACCTAGTTTGGTAATGGAAAGTGGGTCACATATGATAGGGTTAAGTGAAATCGATCGTGCTTGAATCGTGGAGAGCCAGCGTAAGCTGGATCCAATCCAATATTTATGGTCGGGAAGGTTTTGCAATGTGTTTAATGGTATTATCAGGGCAGCATCTATTATGTGCTGTTTTTCTAGGGCCAAACTCTTTTTTAGGACCTATATTGTCGACAATTGGACACAAGAGGAATTGTGATCCATTAGGACAACGCTAGGCCAAACACGTCGATAGGGACTCGCCAGAAGTTTCAGTAGTTTGATAGCAGGACTCCTATGTATACACCTTATAGTTTGGACCGAGCACTAAGTTATTTCTATCCGTTCCTGTCTATGGCGTAGGATTTTGCTGATGGAAAATTTTGATGATTTAACTTCAAAATGGCAACAAGTTATCGAACAAAACGACCTAGACTAGACCTTAAGTAACAACTGGTACTATACTTTAACAATATAAATATACATACTTACACTTCCCTGGACCGAATAATATAGTTCTTTAGTTTAACCATCTAAATTCGTGGTTGTTACCCGGTTAAGTCATTTAAGATATTTTGATGAACGACGAAGATAAATTGTTGTTGTTAAATTTCAACTAAGATAAAGTGTAAAGAATCCAACATGTTTTGTGGATTAAATTATATTTTACTCAGCAGTTTGAATGATCATGATAATAATATAGCATTTTTGTAAATTAACAATTTCGCTATAAATCTGTGAGACTCGCCTATTGGGTTCAAGCATGTTTGATTTTAATTTCTTGTGTGTTTTCAGTACTTTAGATATTTTTGAATTCCGAATAGCACAATCTTATAAACCAATAAGAAAAAACATAAACTTCAGCGGAACCGAAGCTATAGTACCCTTCACAGATAAAAATTCATTTCATTTTGATCTGTCAGTTTGTATCACAGCGATATGTTATGGAAGTTCGACCTGAACAATTTCTTCGGAGACCAAAGCGTTGCTTTGGTTATTAATCCATGTCAAATGTCATTCAGATACCATGGCAAATAAAAGAGTTTTTCGTACAAGGACTTTAGTTTGATTGGTCAGTTGTATGGCAGCTTTATGCTATAGTAGTCCGATCTGTACAATTTATTCGGAAATAATAGAATAATAATCTATGCCAAATTTTATAAAGATTAATTGTCAAATAAAAAAGTTTTCCTAATAAGAAGTTGATTTTGTTTGCTCAGTTTGTATATGCTATAGTTTCACGATATCGACGGTTTCGGCAATTGAAGAATTTATTGAGAATAAACGGACGTGTGCAGAATTTCAATTGGATATCTCAAAACCTGAGGGACTCACTCGCGTATATACTGACATGGCTAATTCGACTCAGGTCAGGCTGATCTTTTATATACATATATATTTTATAGGGTCTCTGACGTCTCCTTCTTGGTATTAAAAAATTTCGTGAAGATTGAATAGTAAAGAGGCGACATTTTCATTGTTGTCAGCTTTAGCTTTGTATGGATCTTAGGAACAAATAATAATTTTTCAACTTGCACTCAGTAATAAAAGATTAGCGCTTCGAAGAGCGTTCTGCTTCCTAATAATATTTGTAAGAATCGGTTTCTTAGGTTTACAAAAATCTGTCCACTGACTTACTTCAAATACAATAATTTTGAAATTATTTCTGCAGCTGTTGTTTTTCGATGTCTGTTTGCCGCTATAGCTGAGCTGTTTGGGAGTACATCTCGACACGTATTGTCGTAGGTTCAAGGTATTGAGTTAGTTTATTTTTAATTATCTCAGTCAATATTTGGATTGAGTTTTTTGTTTGTTTACTGCGCTTTTATAGAAGAGATTAATTACTGTATACAACTCACCCAAGGGTTTTATTATAAGAGCGCTAATCGCTTGTCTCTAAATAACGGTGCATTGTGTGGAGTCCAGTAGATAGAAGACGTATAGTCGTTAGTTTATGTTTAGCTAGTATGACGTGAGTAAAACGATTCAAATATTATTGTGTGATCAACTGTATTGTTGAGTTGTTCAGTAGAAGAGACGTAAACCCATTTGCTCGCCTTCTGCAGACTCCAACTCCTCCTTTTTAGCCTCTTCCTAAGTTCTCTGTTCATACTCTTTTAGGTTACATTTAAACAATAGCAATTAATGGAAGATAAGCTTCGCTTTGGCTTTATTTAAAATCGATAAAATTTCTTATTAATTATACGTTCTACATCCCAACCCTATCCTCTGACAATTTTATAGTTTTTCAATATTTCTATATCTAAGTACAACCCGCTGGCTGAGCAGCTTGACACCTATTTATACTCGGATTAAAGTATGTTGTGCCAGCGCAAGTCATCAGACGACCAACTAAACCACCAGTTGTACGATTCGCGCTACAGTAGATATATCTGAAAGTATATTAAGAATAAAACATGACTATAAATTCTTCTGAAATCGTTGAAGAATGCGGTGCGCACACTTACGTTCGACATGTGGCGTCATTCGGATTCTGGTAACGACCTACTGCAGTTTGACTACCACACACAGCATCCCCCGCACTTAAAGTCGTGCCTGCACTGGAACTACTCACAGTTGTTGGACTTTGAGTGGTGTCAGCAGTGGATGTTTGAGTTGCGGATGTTGCACTGGAAGATGTTTGAGTACTGGCCGTCTGAGTTGTGGGCGCAACAGTTGTGGCATCCGGAGATATAATATCGCACATATCCTGAGTATTAGCCAAACATTGACTGGCACAAGGATTTATACCACCATTCGCACGGGAAGTTAAGCAAACATCATTATTGGGACAGGTGCCAGATACACTTGATGGCACTTCATCTTGGCACATGACAAACGTGGTTTGGCTGGTGCAAGCGTAAGCGCCATCTGAAATACCAGTACAAAGTCCACATTGTTCCGTGTCACCACAATCAGCTTGAATATTTGGATTGCTTTCGGGATCGGCACAAATCAGTCCCAAATTGGTGCAAACATCGCCGGCATTCGGACAAGAAAATACGGTTCCCTGTGGTAGGCCTGTGTAAAGTTGCGTGGTTGATTAAAACAACTGTGTCTTTGGTAAAAAAAAAACCAAAAAAAAAACTGCTGTTTACTTACCGCCAAAGCATAACTGAAAAGTGGTATTTGAAATACACGCAGCGCCATTATTCTCGTTGCAAACATTGCAATCGCCGTTGCACAGTCGCGCCGTCAGCAAAGCGATGAGTATTATGGCTGTGAACTGGTGAAAGAAATAATGCGTATATTAAATTAAACAATTTTTTTTTGATACATTTTTGTTTCTTTATAATTTTTTATAATATTTATTATATTTTGTTTAAAGTTTTTTATAACTAATTTCTATTTTTTTTTTTAATTGCTTGTTATCTGCTTACGCTAAATTGCCACATTTTGTTATTTCTTGCAATCTCTAGTAACTATTGTATCTCTTCTACTAAAGTGTTTTACAACTAAACTCTTTATAACGGTTGCTGTGGATTTTATATTTTTTCGGTTGTTGTGTTCTCGGCAGACATAATTTATATTCTGTCACTTTGAAAACTAGATTACGCTTAAATACATACGAATGTATATTTGCGTAGATTAAATTTGAAAGCGTTTGTGTGGCGCTCATTAGACAACTTCAAGGAAAATGTACTTATGTATAAACAAATGAGGCGCGTTTAACTGTAGAAGGTTAAATAGAAATGAAAGTAGCCGGTTCTGCTTTATGATTTTTAAGAATCTTCCAAAAATAGTCGTAATTTGAGTCAATAGGATCATGATTTTGATGAGTTCAATCTGCCATACACCTGTTTTAAGCCAGTTCGAGAATATCCTTAGTTAGTAGTAGTATAGAAGATTTTTGTAATATCGGCTGGATAGATTTTCTTGTAACCCGCTCTCCGTGTATTAACTTTCTAAAGGTTTTGTTGACATTTTCGTCCTCTGTGGCTTACCGAAATATGAAAATTATACGATTAATGATGGTTACTACTCGTCGATGGAGTGACTTTTAAGTAGAAATAAGGCAAAAATGATATCGGATCCAAAATAATCTCACAGTTTAAGCCGGTTGGGATTCAGATCTAGATTTTGTAAACTTATAGCGAAGAAAATCTTAACCCAGTAGACTTATGCTGCACCGCCTTTTTCAAATATTGTGCAACAAGGACCTAGTTAACATAAGCTTTTAACAGACTGACTCTTTTGTTTACATTTATAATTGATATGAATGTTGGAAGAATTAAGCCTATGTTATTTTATTGCATTCGGCCAATATTTCTGCAGTCAACATAAATATCTCCGTTGCTCTGAGTCAGACAGATGAGAGCCGTAACCATCGTATTCCACGTACGATAGAAGAGAAATGCTCCTGACTATTGCAGTGTTTTTCAAATCGAGGTTGCTGCCATTAAAGTAGCGGTAGTTTTACTGCTCCAGAGTGCATCCTCCTTCAGAAAAGTGAATATCCACTCTGTTGGTAGGGCGGCAATACTAGCCTTGTGTGTTACTACTTGATGGCTGTGCTTCACGAGAGTTTGGACAGCTCTGGTCTACCATTGGTTTAAGCGTAAAGCTGAGAAGAGGCACCAGAGCCACGCTATCAGTTGAATGGGAACAGGTCGATGCTCCCCTCATCGTCCGTGCATTACTACTGAATAGATGGGCTTCGCGGAAGCTTGACCGGTTCCAGATCGATTATAAGAGATCCAGTAAGCTATTTGCCTTCAGTAAGACTACCACCTCCCTAGTTGTGGGGATTCTAACAAGCCATTGGCATATCTTGATTGTCCCGCGTTTGCGAGATCAGGACTTAAAGAAATGGAAGCTCACACTTTCAGATATCGAATCGAACTGATGGGAATAGAAATTAAATGCCTGAGCAAATTTGTAATGGTGACAAGGCGCTTTGTTCAAAAAGGACTGCATATAGTGTAGTTCAAGTGGGATCTCTAGATCAGCCATCGAACTTAACCTAGTATAATCTAAGGAGAAATGAGCACACATTTTCAGTGAGATATCAAAACTCTGCTAACAACGATATATTCTGTTAGTTGGAAGACTGAGAAGAGCAGTCGTTGAGTTATACGTAGACATAATATACCTATCTATGTAATGACTTAAAATTAGATATGGAAACTGTGTAAATTTAGGAGAATTTTTATATACATATTCGTATATGGTACATATATATATATATCTTTGTAGTTCTCACAGTTTACGGGAGTTGTGACAAAATCAAATATATTTCACATATTTTCCATCTTTGCGCTGGTTGAGATTCACAGCATAACGTAACTTCACGAAGCAAACGTTTGTCTGCTATCACAGCTATCTCGGATTAATAAAATTTGTATGAACATCTGCGTATTATCTGATTTATATGATTTTTATTTACATTCAGTAGTTGTTATCATTCCTCAACTGTGTTTTGCTACCGAATAGCGATATAAAAAGCTGTCTGAACAATTAAAACAAATTTAGTCATAACTGAGCAAGAAAAACACACGGTATTCTAATTAAAATGAAGTCCCACACACAGATATGCATTTCGGTAAGAAAATTGAAGACCTCTTTTTTTAGAGCTACATACAAATATGCTCAAATAATTTTAAAAAAATTGTATTTATAAATATTTTTCTCCGATTAGTTGCTTCTCTTAACCACAATCAGTTTACTGGTGCAACAGACAATAGCGGCGTGCGGTGTCTGTGGCAGCAATGGCATTGCCTGCATCAGTGAGACGCAATTCAATATTTGTTTTAACAATCAACCCGACAACAGCACTGTCCAAGAATGTCCCAACGGTGGCACCTGTACTAGTCTGCTGATAAAATGTTCGAACGCAGCTAATGCTCCAGCTGATTGCACTGCCGCAACTTGTGGCTGTACCGTGGACAGTCCTATGTTTGTTTGCACCAGTCGCACCACCTTTGCTCAATGCAATGGCGCGGAGGTCGTCACAACGGGCACGTGTCCGACCGGTTTAACATGTGCGGCACAGAGAGGCGGGGATATTTGTGTCGATGCATGTTATTTGGATGGTGAAATAGAGTGCGATCTCGATGCTCCTGCGAGTTAAATACATCGTTCTTCGAATAGAGAATTGCTTGTACTTCTCTAGGCTAAAATTGTTTGTTGTATAAATAAAGATAAAAGTCAAATATATGATATATTTAGTTAAATCAATCTTTCTATAAGTTTTTAATTTGGATATACTTAATACCAACATTAGTCACCCAGTAACGAACTCATCTGCGGTGTGAGAGAGTGAGTGAGAGAACAAAAATCAATGAACCGACTCGTTTCCTGTGTAATAGGGACAGAAAAACATTAATTTTTTAATATTCTAATGAACTCTTGCCTATATGTTCCTATAAATTGTACATTATGAAAGCTCGTTGTCGAGTATTTTTATAAAAATTCGGGTAATAATGAGTTAATGATGAAATGTCGATTGCGGCTGTTAATAATGGATTTATTTTTACCCAGAAGAGGGTATATTCAGTTTGCCACGAAGTTTGTAACACCCAGAAGGAAACGTCGGAGTATATAAATTTATAAATGATCAGCGGGAAGAGCTGAGTCGATTTAGCCATAACCGGTTGTCTGCCTCTATCTGTATATACGCAATTATATTATCTGGCTATTATACAAACTGGGCGATCGAAATCAATATATGGTAAAGATCTTGATACAAGATAATTTTTCCTTATTACAAGTATGTAAGCGTAATTCGACTTGAACATTGTTTGTATCACCGAACCTGGCTAGAAAGAACAGTCACTGCATTTTCCTTTGGATGTAAATCGTTGGCCGGTTATGTTATCAGATTTAGTTATTTTATATGGCCAAAGGAAATGAACTAGTGAATTACAGCTTCAGTTTGGTTGAACGAACTTTAAGACTTTTCGAAGATCCACGACTTGGAACTAGTCTCACGCAAATTCAAAGCGGGAATATCAGCCGCAAATCTAACCTTTAAATGATACCAATGTAGTCTTCCCGAAGGAGTGCACGCGCTGTAATAATGATATAGTCTAGAATGTTGAAATTTGTCTCGGATTGGAACAATGACATATCTTCATTGACAGCTATATTTTTCGTATTCGATTTATCGTATTCTGGGAACACAGCTGTAATCATCATACGCTCATTTAAGTAGATTTACTTTATATAAATTTGTCGAAATGTTAACACTTTGGAGTTATATTATCGGTATTTTCTTTTCGCTTCCATATTAAGAGATCGAGGGAGCAAGCTACATTTTTTAAACTCTTTTCGAAAGTTCGATTAGATATTTTTAAGATTTTGCTTAATCCCCGACAGAGCTCTTATTATTGCCATACTTCTTTTATAATTTAAAATTTCTGATCAGAGCCTCAACTCTCTCAGGTCACTACGATTGATGAATACTTGAATATATTTATTCCGCGAATTATATTTTTTCAGGTCTAACCTATTTGCTAAAGTCACATAAGGTTTCTTTAACAAAAAGTTGAATGTTGAAAAATTCATGTGTTCTTCAAAACCTACATGTCCCTAAAACAACCACGCGTGTCACTCGAATCTTCCATTATCTTTTACACATATATCTTTCTTAAAGGTTAACAAAACAAACCCCTAAATTCTTTGTTGGCATTAACTTCTCCGACCTTCCGAAAAAAACCCTGAAATCATGTTTATTAAACTTTCTTTTAAATACGTCTATGGCGTTTCGGTCATAAACAATAGAGTTGATAATCTTTTTAGTGGTGAACGCTTACGAAATGTGTGTCTAAACAAATATTTTTATATCTTCATACTTATATTTATACTAACAATATTTAGAATTATTTAAGTTTTCATTCATGCATCTAACGCTTTCGCAAATATCTTAATTCAAGTTGATAATGTTTTGAAAGATAAATATTATGGGTTTACTTTTTAATTACTTTTAATTTAGGGAGCTTAAGAGAACCTTGAAAACTATTTTGCAAACAAAATATTATTACTAATTTTTGCACAGTGCATTCTTAAGGTGAAATGCACTTCTACTAATTTTGATGATATAGCGCTATTAAACTTAAAACTTTAGAAGTAATTTCTTTAAGTAAACAACACTTTAACGAAACTGCATATTATTGGTAATTAATCAGTCAGATCTGAAGTCAGATACCATCGCGCTCGACAAAGGCCGCTAAGTGGCGCCATAACTTTGACCAAATATGTATCTTTCATTTCTTTGCTGTATCAAATACTCCACTTTTTAACTTTTCCATACTAAATTCGGAAATTTTCTACACATATTACTAAAACAATATCCTTCCACGTCCAACGCTTTTGCAAATTGTTTTATCATTCCCTTTCATATGACGTTTAAAAGATTTTCCAGTAGACTTAAATTCAAATGTACCTTTGTTGAGAGTTGCCACTTTTCGCTAATTTCAAAATCAAAATATTAAAATTTTTTTTTTGTTTAAACTTTCAGTATTACCAAATGGTTGCCCACCACCATATGATTTAAAAAAAAAAATTCAAAATATATTTTGCCAGATTTTAATTTGAACGTGAAGTGCAATAATTTTCCAAATATTTTTAGATAAAAAAATGTATTTGAAAGTTAATTTCAAATGCAAGTTGTTGCAAAATGTCTTAAAAAATCTCAGTTTTTGGTATCAAAAGATCACTTTATGAACTTATTTTTCAACTAGTGCGATTAGATAATCGCTAAAAACTATGAACTGTATTACAAACCATTTCAAATTTCTGTTTCAAGCAAGGGCATGACACCAGCTTGCGACTTAATTTAAAATATTATATTTGTCGGTTAATATTTGTTTATAGGTATCACAAACAACATTTATTTTTAAAAACGCCCACGTGTATTCATATGTAAAACAATGTCTTACGTTATTGACTCATATTATTTCGGTTGAAATCTACTAACGCTGGGAAAGAATCATTATCCATACATAGTGAAAATTTTATTTGATATGAAAACAGTTAATCCAGTTATCATTGTCAGCTTATCTCCAGAAGTCAACATACGGTAGCTGTTTAGCATAAATCATCTTCATCCCTAAAATATAAATGAGCGAGATAAACATCCAAATGGGCTCGTTTGATAAAAAATATTTCTTACGAAATTTGCGTTATTTGTTTTATTTTCGCTATTTTCACGCTATTTGAATCAACGCACATGCACACATGTCTTGTCTTATCACTAAGCAACCTTCGAGTGGTAGACGTAGACCTAACAAGCTTCCAACTTGCTATAAAGCTAACGGCGAGAAGACACAGTTTAGTTGAATTAAGTTGTCGCTAACAGTTACAACGCACATATAAAAATGATTTCCACAAAAATGTTTCTAATAGTTAGTGAATACATATATACTATATATATATTAGTAATATACAAGATCTAAATTTATTTCTAAAATTTCTTTTTATTTTTTATTCATTTTTTTCGCCGCAGAGTTGCCTCCTCGCGACATTCCTCTTATACTCTCCCGCATCGGCCAAGTGCAACACTTGCAGCGTCAACGGTATAGCATGCCTCACCGATAGTTCATTTCTCATCTGCCACAAAGGTAAACCAGATTCGTCGCATATCTTCCAGTGTCCTGCCGGAAAGGTGTGCGTCGCCAATTCGCCAGAGAGGTGTGTACCGGGCTCAGAATCCTCAGCAGATTGCGCAGCCGAACAAAATGCTTGTGGCGACTGCAAGGGCAACAAGCTCTTCACTTGTCTCACTCCCACCACCTTTGCGCAGTGTAACAGTACCGCGTTGTTGCGAAGTGTTGTCGGCAGTTGTCCTAGTGGCCTGACCTGTGATTCTTCACGTCCAGAAATTTGTGTTGCTGGTGGCGCCGAGTGTTCGACATAAGTGATTTGGTTTAAGTGAGTTATAAGAAAATTTATATATTGTTCTAGAAGTGTTTAAAGTGGTGAATAAATGATGGAAACTGAACTGTGGGCGGAATTGGTGTTATATGTTTATTTTTTTATCAAACAAGTCTGGGGGTTTGAAAATTATGTATAAATTACAAAATGTTGCTACAAACTACATATAAAGTTTTTGGTGACATAACGAATATATGTGACACCTAAACCTAATTGAGATAGATATGTATATTGGTCAATCTGAAGTATCTTAATTTAAGTCAGAAAGCATAATTTTCTGGTAATGATTTGTCGTAATGCCCAGAATAGATTAAGTCGGGTCTATACTCCCCTAGACCTATATACGTAATATATAAACATTTTAAAATTTCGGTTTTCTTTATATCGTATATAACGGTTAATATGTAACATGTCTTAGCAAAATTAAGTGATCGTGTAATATCGGATATAATATAGCTTAATACCGTAAATGCAAGAAATCGGTCCGCAAGGTACCCCAGCTTCCATATATGGTACTACTTATAATGATTTAATTTAATTTAATTCTAACAAACCGAGTAATGCCGAATATATAGGTCAGTGTGTGAGTTATCTATATAAAATGCGTAGAAGCATGTTCTCGAGTATATTTGAGTATTGCCAAATGTTAATGTAATCAGTCCAGATCGTTCCCTAACTCCAATAAATCCGATATAATAATATACGTCTTTCCATCTGACGTTAAACCGTTATGTTGGTCAAAATGTGTGATAAAATATTGTAATCAAATTAAGTGGGCATGTTTTCTTAAACATAATATGAATGAAATTGGAAAAGATTTTGGTCTAAACCTCATATCCCTAACCCATATAATGATTATCGATCCTCTGGTGGACTTTTTTCTCATGGAACCAATATTTTAAATTTTCGATTGAATTTACATCACATATATATACGTGTTTTAAGATTGAATTTGAGTGGTTTGTAAATTGCGAGAGTATAAATTTTTCGGTTACATTCGAATTTACTTTTTTCTTAATTGTTCAGTTTAACTTAATTCTTCTTACTGTCGAAGGCACTTCATAGACATATATATAATATATATTATTGCCAAGTCGAGGTCATTACAGCGAATTTCATAGCTCTGTTTATCTCAACGGTCTCCAATCTGATGCAAAATTACTTGTGATATCGCCGTTTATAGTTGACCAGACGTCAACCTCAAGCCTTAAATAAATACATTAAAAATGTTAGTCCTACCTATGAAAGGACAACCCTACAAATTATTTCGGACAATTTTTCAGGCAATTAATCATATTTGTGAAGTTTACTAAGACTTATTATCAAATCACATTACGATCTCTTTCCAAATACATGTACTTATGCATACACCATACATATTTAGTTCTCTAGAGAAGTATTGAGCAAATTTGGAATTATGTTACTCATACGTCACCGACACTCTGAGATAATTTGTACAGTTTATAATGGCTAAGGTTTTGCGTAAATATTTTACAATATTGAATTAGGTATTTAAAATAACTGAAACTAAACTCAGCGCAAACGTATAAATCTGGACCGATTTTATTGGTTTTTGATACCAAACCACAGCGGGGTTGAGTAAACATGCCCATTTAAATTCATCAAGATATCACATACGTTGAATTGATACGCTATAATCACAGAATACAGTTATTCATATAGAAATCAGAGAGGCAGAAATCTTAGTTCAATATGTGGAAGCTAGTAGAAAAGCTATGTTCTGATTCTAGCAGCACTGCGGTTGGTTTAGTCCTGGATCCCACAATGGAGTGAATTATCTTTTTTCTAGCATTAGGTGTGCACAACTTTAAAGTAACAACACAGTTAAATATTTATAAAATAAGACAACATTTAAGTGCATTCTTTCTATTGTATTCATGGACACACACATACTATGTATACATTGTATAAGTTTTGTTTTGTGAATTCAATTAGAGAAGACTGAATTCGTATGCAAAAACTTTTAAATTTGCTTTGATAAATATTAGAGTAGTGGTCTTTGTTGTAGACTACATTATTGTATAGATACTTGCACGTCAATCAACTTGAGATTTCCAAAAATAAATGAGTCAAAGACACTCAATAATCAGATAATAAATCTGCAAACTTTCCATGATGTACTTAATCTTACTATACAACTTTTATACCAATCTCGAATCTCAAAGCCTCTATTGTATGTTAAATTTTAAAATATATGTCCTTGATCCCCTCTAACATTCCAAGGTGCCTTCAAATATTTGAATATAAAATTTTGATAAGATTATCAAAGGTTAGTTTCTTTTAAATTATTGAAACTATTTTATTGCAGGGTTAGAATCATCGGAATTGTCGAAAGTTATTTTGGAACACAATAGCTCCGCTTGTACCTATCTAGAGAATAAACCATGTGGTAAAGAAATTTGGTTAAAGAAATGTCTTCTTTATACAAAAAAATGCTGTATAAATTGTGTGTCTTTAAAGTACAGAGCAGAAAACGATAATCATAGAGCAGAAAACGATTATCAAAATAATCATATTTATATGCACTCTAAAAAAACTTAACCTGGTAACTCAAAAATTTATTTCAACAAATGTGTCCATGGAGGTACTAAAACGACGATCTTCGAGAAAGATTAAGGAAGAACAATCCAATATGGGATTCAAGCTACATGTATTCAGGTATTTTTTAACTGTTATATTTACATTTTAAAACTTATCAATTTTAAAAAAATTTAAAACTATAAATATTCTAAAACAAGAAAAAACGTAAACTTTGGAAGCTATAACACCCCTTACAAATACAAAAGTTTCCTTACTAGAGCTTTGATTGGTCAGTTTTTATGGTAGTTATATACTATAGTGACTCGATATGACATGGACAATAACCCATACTAAAGTTGGGGAAGATATCTCGTCAAATAAAAAAGTTTTCCATGCAATCACTTGATTCCGATCGGCTAGTTTGTGTGACAGCTATATGCTATATTGAATCGATCTGAATAAATTCTTCACCATTATTTGAGGCAATAAGCCGTACCAAATTTCTGGCTATATACTTTAGTGGTCCGGAACGAAAAAGGAACGCGTGCAGATTTTCATGCTGATCATTTATATATACTTTATAAGGTCTCTGACGTTTCCTTTTGGATATGACAAACATCGTTTCAAACTGAATATACACTGTTCAGGGTATAAAGTATGTATCAAATGCCAGACATCTTCAGAAAAACAATTTGAAGGATTTAATTTTGACATATTTTGAAATATCATTGACATCTAAAAAAACTTTATCTGAAAATATTACCAAATGTGTGCCCATAATATGACGCCAAAAAATCCTTGCAAAAGTTAAAAGTATTCCGGCTGAATATAATTTTGATTTCTAGTGGAGTTGCCACGTATGAAATAAAAAGTAAATGTATTTCAATAACGTTTCAGCGAGCATTCTACAAAATTCTATAATTGAGTTGAAAAAAGCCGCTTAATTAAGATTTTTCAATAGTGCAAGTTGTGTAAACGCTCAAAAATCGTGAAAAGCTTGCGAATTATTATTTATTTTGATTTAAAATGAGAACTCATATTAAAAACTTCTACTTCTGCACTAGTATTTTAGGAAAAGTTATTCACTTTCACTGTAGGAATACTGAGCAATTTTGAATTGGTGACAGCATGAGTTCCTACTCTTCAAAAACTAACTCACTGTGATGTTAACTCACGGTGATGTTCAGTTTAATTTAATTTCAATTTTGCTTCCAACTTGTCGCCTCACCTATTGCTTATACTCTTATTGCTAAAAAATACTCGCATTACACAATTTTTGTGTGACAGTGACCTAAATTTGATATTGAGCAAAAACAAAAATGATTTAACTACACAGTGTGTAGTCTCAGGCTAAGCAAAAAAAAAAAATTTTTCGCTCCATCCTACTACACACATTAAAAAGTAATACTTTTTTTTATAACAAATTTAAATTAATTAACTGTCAACACTGAAGCTTAACTGCCTTTAGGCCTAGTCGATTAAAGTATAATGTCGCAACAACGAAATTCACTCAACTATTGTCTTTTGCATAAATATTAAATGAGTATTTTACCGAATGTCGCGCTCATAACAGTTATACGAATTTAATCCACTGTCATAATTTACAGTTAGGCGTTGAAATTGTGAGAATTGCCAAAGTGTTGTTGTCAGCAGCGATTATTGTCACATGTCAATGTTGTTGTGGCAGGTGTTGACAAAATGGCTGGATTTAATCTGAATAAACAAACGCACAAATCTTTTTTTATTATTGGTATATGCAGTGGTGTATGTTTGTAGGTGACACTAGCATTTCTACCGGAATTAAAGCGAAGTGACATTGACAAATCTCGCACAAAGCGTAACGCGTGGGTATCTCATATCTATGGTATGTTAATCTAAATAAAATAATCGTTCAACTGTTGAATTTAAAAAAGAATTTATGGTTACCAACTGTTGCAAAAAATTAAATACAGAATGCTAATTGTATGCTCAGTTCAACGGTTTAGGTTCAATGTTCCAGATTTTGGTTTCATTTAAGCTTATAGAAATAATTGAGTCTGGAAAAGACACTACATTTATCTCTAAGGGTTATTCTATAGAGTAGGTAGAGATACAAAAAGAACATTTTACAAACAGTTCAGTGTCGAAAGTAATAAAAAAAGTAGGAAATAAACATACTCAAAGTTCATAAGGATCAGTGAAGCTTACACTCTTTTACTGTACTTGCAGAACATAGGTAATGTTAGGTTAAGTTAAGGCGTCAATCGTAACAGCGTAGAAAGCCGGCGCGTTGTGGTACCTAAAACTTCTTTATAATAGATCATAAGACCCTTACAAATCGACAAAGCGCTTTGAGTCTAACTCAAATTTGTTGAGACGGCTAATGTTAGTTTCGGTTATGTCTCCTTTATCGCCGAGATGTTTCAGACTCAGTCTAGCAAAGGCTGGACAACGGAGTAGAAAGTGCCTGGATGCGAGATCCATTGGTCCAATACTAAAATGCAAGACGCCAATGAAGATCCAACTCGGGGCAAGGGTAACCCTCCTCCAGCGAATTCTCCATATCTACATATCCTTCGTCTGTATGTAAGAAAAAGACGCCACGAGTAGCCTCTACTATGCAGTGATCCCAGTTTTCGGGAATACAGTTAAGGTAGGAGAAAATTTCGGCATATTCCTGTTCGGACCCCTTTATATATCCGGCTTTTCTGAGCCTTCGAACGCACTTCGCAGCAATAAACCTGTCGGCAATATCCACAGATAGTATATGTAAAATGGCATTAAATGGTATTGTTGGTATAGTCCGCAGAGCACCGGACCAGCATTTACATAGGTGTTCTTGGTGGATTGTCGTGGTATCTCAGAAAGGCGAAATGTCGAAACTTACTAATATTTTAATAAGGACCACAGTGTAAATGCCATCGATTATGAAAACATTTAGTACAATACAATATATAACATACAATTTTTATTTTAAAGCTTTTGAAAACATTTTTTTTTTTAACAATAAAAAATTATTTATACAAAGGCTTTTCAATAAATATTAAATTTAATAATAAATTAAACCTTTACTGGACCTTTACTGGAAGCTATTATTTAAAATATGGCAACCCTACACATAAAATTATCCACAAATATGCAACGAAGATAATTACAATAAATATATGATATTATATTATATATTCATACATATGTATGTGTATATAGGTAAATATATTTAAGTACCGACAGTTGTACGCCAATGCTACCAACTAATTGTAGCGCAACTAATTGTTTTACAACATCAACAACAAATTAGTTGGTAATTGTACAAGTTTACGAAGTGTTAAACTCTCTTCAAACCACCCATAAACATTAATATTTTAATTAAAATGTACTGACATACATTTGCACCTGTACGAGACTGCAGTCAACAACCGTGTGCCATCGACGCATTCATCGGCGCATTGTCACCAACTGTTGCGGCAAACACCCACCAGCCACCATAGTGCTGGTTGTACAAAAGGTGAAATGGAGTTTTTGTAATTATCAAATTCATTTAATCAGCACCGTTAACGGTCATTAAACCGTTTGTCTCACACTCTGTGATTGTAACATTTGGCAACACTATGTTCCTCACGTTCATAAATTCAAGCAGTTATGGCGCAGGCGCGTTAGTACGATTTCGTTTGCCCTGCCGAGTGGATTTTCACCAGAAATAATAAAAATTAAATATAATATAATAAAAATAAGTTTCATTAAGATGTGCCAACAACAACATAAACTGTCGTGTTGGTTAAATATAAGAATCGTCTTTAAATTCGTGTTGTTCACATTTACTCTCTCGCAAAATTCCTGCAAAGTCCAAGAGGGCAGTTCGTGGAAGGATATAATATTCGGTAGCAAATGGATACCGTCTGTAGGCGCTCGTGACCCTAGGTGTATGTTTGTATAATAAATGTTATGGATTTCTCAAATTATTATAGAAAATAATATAGTGTCTATTACCATCGGAGAATTAAATTGTATTAATAAAAAAATATTGGTGCTTCCTTATTTTAACTCTAAAATATATTGAAACAAAAATAAGATGAAATATTTTTAAAAATGCCCTTTATGTATAACATAATTGAGCTAATAATGTTTTGTGTCGAAGAGACTTTAAAACCAAAAGAGTGTTTGACCAAAAATGTGATATACTGATGCATAGATTATCACCGACTAGGTGAAAGGAAGTCGTACGTAACAAACTTAACAGTGTTTTCAAGCAACCTATTTTAAAAATTGTTTTCGGCCAAGGAAGTATATACAACTATTCTGCTTCCTGCTGTTAATAAACCATTTTCTTATTTTCTGCAGGTCCCTTATTTGTATACCCTGAACAGGGTATATTAAGTTTTCCATGATGCTTGTAACACCTAAAAGAAAACGTCAGAGACCCTATTAAATATATATATAAGGTAAATTCTCAGCATTATGAGCTGAGTCCATTTAACCATGCCCCTCTGTCTGCATATATGGGAACTAGCCTCTCAGTTTTTGAGATAACGTTCTGAAGTTTTGCTCCCGTCTTTTTCTAACTATGAAGCTACTCATTTTTCGGAATCGTCAATATCGGACCACTACTGCGATACAAACTGAACGACCGGAATCAGGGGCTTGTATGGAACATTTGACGAGATATCTTCAAGAAATTGGCATGGATTTTTGTCTGAAGCAATGGTACAATCTTTGTATAAGTTGTTCAGATCAGATCACTATATGCCTTGATGGAACACAATTCCTCATCTATTGGCAACAGCTGCTCGCTTCTGGGTAATTGCTTCTTTTAGACAATTGTAGACAGTATAGGGCCAACTTAAGAATTTGGCTGTGTCGGAGTTAATTCTCTGCCAACACCTCCGGAAACATAGCAAAATTTTCTTGACCGTCAACCCTGCCTTGGCCACCGTTTGCGCAGTAAATTCGGTCCAGGAGTTTTTTTTTACATTAACCCGAGTGGCCCCCAACCATTGAATTAGTTTGTGTATCTAGCGTTATTTAAATGTTTCCAAACGGTTGATTGTACAATATTTAGCTTATGAGCGAAAGAAAGCTTACAGGAGGATCGGTCTCGACGATTTCCATTATTTCATCGATATATACATACAAAATATTTTTCCAATTCGAGAAAAATATGTCAGAACAAATTGTCAAGAAGGCAAATCAGTACAATATGTTTATATACAACTTTAATCAAACGAGCGGTAATATATTAGGTTACGACAAATTTTTTAATATTTAAACTATGAAAACAACACCTTAGGTGAAAGATTGAGCATAAAAGCTACATACCTTCAGCCTCCAAGTTTTCAATTATTCTACATTTGTTTTTGTTGAAGCCTCATTTTGAAAGTTTAAAATATCATAGGCGTCTGAGTTGGTACGAACATTGCATCTTTCGAAAGAAACAATGGACTTGTGTCGACTGTTCCGAAAATGCTGAGTTAACGTTAAAATAAGGATCTCATGATAGCCGCTTTTTGAATGGCAAAAATCATAATCACAACAACATCTCAAATGTAAAATTAACAATCTACTTTTTGTAGATATATCGTAAATAATACTGATAACCTATACAAAGGTTATAGTATGGCGTTAGTATACAAGGGTTCAGTTAAGGTTGAAAATTGGATAATGGGCGTAGTACTGCCCTTATCTAGGTGAAATTTCATATCGTATAAACTACTTGATCGATTGGAACCAAATTTGTTTCAAACTTCCTCTTTACATGTTTTAAAATTACAAGGGAAATCGCAGTGTGAATTTACCATAGTATGCTATCATGAATGTAAACTACTTGTTTTCCTTAAAAATAGAAAACAATCATGAATACATATATGATAGAAATAAAAATTTCCCAAATGCTTTTTCTAATGTGTGGCAGTTCTTATCTCACCTAAAGTGGTCAATATCGGATTATATATTTTTGGCCAGCAGATACTCGATATGTTGGGCTCCCGTCTTATGGCGTGAAATATTAATAAATGAAGTGTGCATCTTTTCCTGGCCATTTTTGGTGTGGTGTCAAAAGTGGTTCAGTTCCTTAGTCTCTATAAACCATATGTTTATAGGATTTTCGATAATTCGGTTGACGTTTTGCCAAATAATTCGATATTATAAAATTGAAGAATCGGTACATATTTGTATGTTTGCTGTATACCCAAAGTATTGCATTCCTTTCTTCGATTCCCAATTTAGTATAGAATTAAGAATATTATTTTAGATTATTTTAAAAACGTTTAAAATACTTTAACTGATTTCTGTTTATATTTTATTTCCATCTTATAGTTTTACCAATCTTTAGTGTGGTCCCTGTTGGTACTGGCACCTGTACGGCATCATCTGGTGAACAGGGCAATTGCATACCGCAGAAAGAGTGTCTGCTACGCGCTGGCATACCAGCTGGACCCTGCGCGGGCGGTTATGGATTGTGTTGTGTTTGTAAATAAAAAAACATACCATCACCATTTTCTATAACTAAAAGCACTTTTTCAATGTGTTCCAAACTTCGAATGTCGAATTGAAATATTTTTTAATTTTCAGTTCTACAAACTTGCGGTGGTGTTATACGTGAGAACTCCACCTATTTTGTCAACCCTAACCATCCAGATGTCTACGATGGCACTGGCAGCTGTCAAGTCACAGTGCAGAAAATACATCCAGACGTGTGTCAGTTAAGGTTAGAATACTACAGCAACCGGAATATTTTGAAACAACTAATTATTTTATTTCCTCCTTCCAGACTCGATTTGGATATGCTTTCCATTGCACCACCCGAAGCGCAGAACCATGTCTGCAATCAGGATCAGCTACTCGTATCCGGCAGCAGTCCGATACCAATAATTTGTGGCACCTCGTCAGGTGATCACAGTAAGAAAAGAAATAACTTTTTTGTTTGAATCCTTTGGTAGAAAATTCTCTCTTCGCAGTGTACATTGACGCCGGTTTGGGTCAAAGTAACGCTATCGTACTTTCCGTTATAACGAGCGGCACTTTTTCACGAATCTGGCGCATACGAGTTACACAAATACGCTGCGGCAGTTTGAGTCGAGCCGATCATGGTTGTCTACAGTACTACACCGGCATCAGTGGACGCGTACGCAGTTTCAATTTCAACACTGTAACGGGAAGACAGCTCTCCAATCAGGACTATAGTGTTTGCATACGCGCGGAGCGTAATTTTTGTAGCATACAGTACAATGCTTGTCCGGATACCGGTGAGCTCGAATTTAGATGGTGTTATCGAACTACTATTTTACGAGTATATTTTCTTTAGAGAACAACCGCTCGCGCTCCTTTACCATCTCCGGCAACTCCAATAATCCCACCGGTTCAATGGTTGGTGGGGGTACACAAGTAACCCAGAACACATGTATCAACGATTGGCTGCTCATCGGCTGCATGCGTTCGGTGGATCGCATTCCGCCCTTGGCTGCTTGTGAGGATCGGGTCTGCGGCGGCACATTTAGCGCAGAAGTGGGTACCATTCAACGCACCGTGCAATGTAAGTCTTGACTTAAGCTAGTGTTTAATTATTAATGTATGTTTTTATTGAATTGTAGCGAGCGTGCGTCCTTTCCGCCTGTACTTCCATACGGATGGGGTCGAAGCGCCTACAGATGTTGACAACCGTGGCTTTTGTTTGGATTTCGTGCAGCAGCCGTGCACGAATGGTTTTTAATTACTTTGGTTGACGTTATTTTTTACTTAAATAAGTTGTTTTTGTATTTTGAATAAATTTATACAGAAATTTTGGGTTTCTGTATCGGGTAGGTCTAGCTATTTGCATTTATTGAGGGAGTCGATATATCAGTTCATGTAAAAATTCAATTCCGGAGGGTGTTGTGATGTTCACGATAATACTAAGAAAATATGTTTTTTGTTTACATATCTTGTTCAATTTTGAACCATAATCGCTCATAATTCATCCATGGTTCGAGATTTCCGTTCCTTAATTTAAGTCCATGGTAAAAACTGGTGAAAAGTATTCCAGAAGTCGATGATAATGAAGTTTTTTTTTAAAATGCTGGAATTGTTTAAGTAATCAAATTGTGCAACTGGGCGGAGGGTCACAGTCTAACTGTTAATACAGAGAAAACCGTAATATATATTTTTAAAAGAAGGTCAAAAATTTCGCAAGTGAGTTCCACCTCTCCAAGGGGTAGGACTATTGCACTTTTAGGCCATTGCTCTAACCAGCAAAGCCATAAGCCTTCTAGGAGACAATCGAATGACAATTAATGCTATCCACAGCGCGTGTAATAAGTCTCACTGCGTTAGGTTATGCAAAATTCGGTAAAAATCATTTGGACACCTTGTTAAATATTAATAGAAGGAAACCAAAAGTTCATATACCATTCAGCTTCTTCAAGGGCAACGGACCCTAGAAGAACATATTAGGATTTGGAACACTAACAACACAGGGCATATTATAAAGTATGTAATTTATGTTAGTTTTGACGGTAAGCAGACCAAAAAGATTTTACTTTGAGGCAAGAGACAACTTAGGTAGCTCGGATGAAATAAAATATTGCTTTTTATTGTTATTCTTAGACTAAGTCCGCAGTTAATATTTTCATATTTAGTAGGTTATTTAGACCAATTTCAACCTTTTTTATCAGACTTCACATTTCACAGTCTTTTCAAGGGCATTTTTAAAATATAAAGATCACAGACCTGGTTATATTCTATAACATATTTAATATTTTACAGTGCTAGTTATCATACCAGATATTGATATAAAAATATTTTCGAAAATTCCTCTACAAGGTCGTCGAAGAACTCCTTTCTTTATTTCCGGTTCGGTTAGATTAGATATGTTTTTGCTGTTCATTAGTGGTAAATCATATGAGGTGATGCTAAAGTAAACTTAGCTCTTTGATCTATATCACCTCTCCAGAAGTTCTGCGAATCTAGCTCGGTCCATTTATTTAGTTTCAGAAGTATTATGCGCTATACCCCAGAAAAAATTGTCCAATATAACTTAAAAAATACCTACTTCGAAAGAATGAACCAACAAATCTTTTTTTTCAACAATTTCTTTGCGATATTTATTAAGATTTTCATTTAAACTAAGTTATCGATTACAGTTGCAGTATACTAAATATAAAATAATAAATTAAAAGCACATATTTTTTAAAACTTTTAAAACTTGGTTTTGAAACGTTTTCAATTCACATTTTTCAATTATAATAATAATAATATTAATAATAATAATTTCTTGTTTTATTTTTGTGTGTTACCTATTTTTATATAGTATATTTTTTACAATTTTTTTCTCTTTTGTTGAATTCAGCAAAATTTATAATAATAAACATTTTTGTTAGATATTTCCAATAATACATATTATAGTTTAATTGTATATGATTGTAGCGCTATAACAAGATTTTGAATACTTTATATAACAATAAAGAAAATACCAAAAATAAAAAAACTTTTCTTTGTAAAAATTTTTTAAATTAAAATTTATACAAATCTAAATTTTGAAAAATTTGTTATAACATATAGCATATAATTAAATAATAATTTCAAAAAGTTTCAAATAGTCATAATAATTTTTTGAAGAATAAAATAATTATAATAAAAATAAAATGTAAACATAAATTCATAATAAAATAACACTTTTCGCTTATTCGTTAGCATAAATATTCATTATTTGCTTCTTTTCCCTTTAAACTGAATTCGCTTGTCTGTTTCCTACAGTTAACATTGTGATGGGTATATATTTTACATATAAGCGCTGCAGTTAACTGTTTTTCATTTGTTTCTTCATCATCTTTTATTTGCCAATTCATTAGCAACCCCATCGTAAAGTTCAACGCACTCTCTCCATATGAAAAGTGCAATGCGCTCGTTTTTCCAAGCTCCACTCTAAAATTTATATATGTGTATATGTTTAGAAAAGCTTTCGGTTCTCCCATTCGTTTCATCATTCGTTTTACACACTGTCCAAGGCACTAGTTTCCCTTTCTTCGAATTCAGCGGCGTCTTTGCTTTGCTCATAACTCACTGGTAACGCTTGAGATCGTCCAAAATAAAATCAATAAGAAAATCATTTTCTTTTCATCATCTGCTTTTCACACGCTGTTCAGTCTGTTTTATAGCTAAGCTTTTTTTATATGACTCTCTAATGCTAAGAAGTCTGTGGACGTTGACTACTACATTTGACTACTACTTAGAATGCTAATAGGTTTTTATTAAAGCCGCAACATGTTGTTTCTCCTCCTCCGTTAGGCCGTTCTTAAGCGTTCGACGCACTGGAAAGAAATTAATCAAATAAGTATGTTTTTATAAGTGGGTGGTGAGCAAATATGTGCGCAGAAAGGTTTGTTAATCAAGCACAGATGGAACTTAGAGTAGTCAAGTAGGATACGAAAACGTTTCCATATAATTTTTAGTCACTTTTGTATAAAGAAAGTTATGATAAGTTAAAAAGTGTAGAGTTAAATAAGTTAGTAACTTTAAGCAATTATTAGACGTATTCATTTCAACACTTTTCGCTACGTTTGAGGTTCTCTTCTTAACAATTCTTCTGTGAGAACCACAGAGAAATTTTAATTATGTCAGTTTATGTAATTTATACCAGTTGTTTGTTCGAGTGTGGAACAAGTGTACTTAACTCTGAAGTGCAAGTTGCTCTAATGAAAGCTGAAAGCAAGTAAAACAAGACCTCCTGTAACATTTTCAGAAAAAAAACTTTTACTTGATGTGCTTATGAAAGAGTTTTCATAAATAGAGCTAGATATTGAAGTGGACATAAAAAGGTGTAGATGAATGCATATTTTATTTATCTAATATTATATATGCTCTAACGGGGGTCCCGGTTTTCAATAATGGATCTGGTCAACTTTATTAAATATTCTAGGCTATGTGTTGACATCAAAATCTACCCATGCCAACCAAATCCATTTTTAGTGAAGTGTTCAAGATCTTTAGTGGAACTTTTTCTATAATGTATGGACTAATTTAATAGGAAAAGTAGTTCTGGAAACAATATCAACTTTTTACATTGACAATCTTTAATAGCCACTTAATAAATCACTCAGCCAAATACACTTTGCCAATTTTCAGCAGGTGGGATCATTAGGACCCTGTGATGACCTTTACAATTTTACTAAGTTCCCTTTTGCTTAGAAGTAAAAGCTTTTTGGTATATTCACCATCAACACTACACCAAAACCTACATGTTATATTCTAGTGTTTTTAGACCTGAGGTTTTCCTCTTGAGTCCATTGCTTCAAATAATCCTTGAAGGAGCTGAATGGTCTAGAGAAGGTTCGGAGAATTGTTTTCCTTGTCTTCAGGCCTTTTGTTGATGCTGTTTTCATTAATTTTTCGATAATGCTATCCACCACACCACCGCCCCATATGTTTGTATGGGACGGATAACATTTGTGTAGTAGTTCCAGATTCGAAAGGTTATTTTCAATGTGTTCTCTCCAGCTCAATTTTCTTGATTGTAGTATAAAGGAATTTTTAAGGCTCTCCTAATCGGTCGAATGAGCTCAATGTAAGGTTCGGTTTTGGTTGTATTTAAAATCAAATTAAATTGACATAAGAAAGAAAGAAGTAAGAAGTAAGAAAATACGATTGCATCAGCTTTTGGGATTAAATACTTTGATATTTTTTGGTTTGAGTTAAAACATGCATTAGTGTATTAATTAGTATTATGTTGTTTATTCTATTCTATCAGAAATGTTTACATAGATGGAGATTTTTGAGTTAGTCACAAACAATTTATATCATTGTTTTTATTTATATGATATATTATATATACAAGTGTATTGTATTTTGTTTTCGTTGTAATGCTTCATGCAATATTTTATGCATTTCAGTTGGCAACATTCAAAAACTTTCAAAATGCATTCGAAAAATATTTCAAAAATCAAAAACTGCACTAAACGAGGGCTTATAATTGCCAACCAAAAGTAATTTCACTAACCAATTTGGCCGTTATAACGGTGCTATGTCAGCGATCATTCTATGGCGATGGTGCGCGTTCAACTGTGAATCCTTCACGCGTGCGCGACCGCTTCACTGCAGCCAACAAAGCGCGAAACGAACGTGTTTAGCGAGTTTTGTTTTGACGATTTTGGTAATTTTTAGAATTGTTATGATTTATTTGATTATATATATTATTTTTATTTTTAATGAGAGATTAAGATATGATGAGTTACAGTTTCATAACGAGTTCCAATGTTAACCCAATTTTAAGCGTATGTATATATAAATTTTTATTTTTGTTGGATCATATGAAATTAATAAAATAAAATAATACACATTTGTTTTAGATAAACTTATTTAAGTCGTCTAAATTAATTATTATTAAGTGCTAAAAATGTTTTTGGTTAATTTATAATAGTTTTGTATATTTACAAAAAGGTAGAACTGTAATTATATATGATGAATGTTATTACAAAAATTTCTGAAATCTTTTTTTACACCAGAAACTAAAGCCAAAAATCGTTAGCGGAAAATTAAAACAAAATTTTGAATTTTTTGGTGTGATTAATATTATTTTTTCTATTTTTTTACAATATTTTTAAGACATATAGGGTGTCTGTTTGTAAGTGAATGCGCTGGTGTAATTGTGTGTGTTTTTGTAACTCGCTTATTGCTGTGTAGGCGCGTTTACATAGTCGATTTGTACGCTGGTGAAAAACGAATTGTGTGTTAAATTAATAAAATCACGCAAATTTCCAAATTCACCACACCTC